CTGACAATCGTATGAGTATGGAAAGCATTTTTACTCATGAGCAGATGGAGAAGTTGAAACTGATGCTCTTCAAGTCACCATCTCCTTCCCCATCTCCTCCTACTTCTCCATCAGTGCACACTGCAAATGCAGTTACTTGTTCTATTCTAGTCAACAGGCAACCTCCTCAATTGGCTTACATGCCTTCCAGCTCAGGTACTACAGCTCTCTCAGCTCTAATTGCATCTTGTGGTGAACCATTATGGGTTTTGGATACTGGGGCTACAGATAATATCATCTTTAGTTCTAAGTTTTTCAGCAAGTATAAGGTTCTTAATGGCATTTATGTTACTTTACCTACTGGTGAACAAGTAAAGGCCACACACATAGGTGTTGTTAAACTCCCTTGTGGCTTGTTCCTTTCACAAGTCCTGTTAGTACCCACCTTTAGCTACAATCTTGTTTCAGTAAGCAAATTAACCAAACAAAATCCTGTCTCACTTACTTTTCAATCCTCTGTCTCTGTTATTCAGGACCTTATTACACAGAAGAGGATTGGTTTAGCCCAAGTGGATAGAGGACTTTATCTTTTCACCAAGACACCATCTTCCGATTCATCACCTCAGTGCCTTGCAGCCACTTCTCATAACTTCCAGCCACAACAGTTTGATCTCTGGCATGCCAGATTAGGACACCCACATGTTTCTAGATTACAAGCTATTCACAAAGTTTCTCCTGATGTAATAGCTTCCCCTTATACTCATTGTGATGTTTGTCACTTAGCCAAACAGAAAAGGCTCTCATTTCCTTCCAGTTCCTCTATTAGTCCTGTTCTTTTTGGATTAATACATGCACATATTTGGGGTCCATTAAACACAGTTTCTTATAATGGCTATAGTTATTTTTTGACTTTGGTTGATGACCATTCTAGATGTGTGTGGACCTATCATATGAGATCTAAGGATTAGGCTAGACCCCTACTTCAATCATTCTGTGCTATGGTGAAATCACAGTTCAATACAAATGTGAAAATCATCAGAACTGACCAAGGTCAAGAGTTCCACATGAATGAGTTTTATAACACTGAAGGTATTGTCCATCAAATGAGTGTTGTTTACACTGCACAGCAAAATGGTAGGGTTGAGAGAAAGCATCAACACCTTCTTAATGTTGTCAGAGCATTAATATATCAGTCAGGTCTCCCACTGTTGTATTGGAGTGATTTCATTCTTCATGCAGCATACCTGATCAACAGAACTCCTACTCCCATTCTGCAAAACAAAACACCATTTGAGGTCCTTCACCACCTGCCTCCTAACTATACCAGTTTAAAGGTATTTGGCTGTTTGGCTTAAGCCACAGCAGGCCATCCTAGAACAAAATTTGATCCTAGAGCTAAACAGTGCATCTTCCTTGGTATACCAGCAGGCATCAAGGGTTTTAAGTTGTTGAATCTTGATACCAAACAAGTCTTTGTTTCTCGAGATGTGGTCTTTTATGAACACATTCTTCCCTATAAAAATCCTACTTCTCCATCTACAAACTCTTCCTCTACACCAATCTTTTCTGAAATCTCTTCTTCTCATGCTAGCCACCAGTTTTTCCTTCCAATCCTATGACTTCCTTCCCTCATTTGTCTGAGGAGGACATTCCTTCTCCCTCTACTTCACATCCTGATGAGTTTCATGAAGTCACTTCTTCTCCTAATTCTACTTGCTCTGATGCATCTGTTCCTTTCCTTTTATCACCATCTTCATCTAAAACTCCCTCTTCTCCTTCTCCTTCTCCTTCTCCTTCTTCTTCCACATACACTTTTTCTCCATGTCCTTCTCCTCATGAAGATCCACCCATTCCTCTCAGGAAATCAACAAGGGAATCAAAACCTCATATCTGGCATTCTGACTATGATATACAGTATCCTCAGAGTAAGAGTGTTTCTTACTGCCACTTGCAACCTAACTCCAGAAGTTTGTTAATTCATTGATCACTCATATGGAACCAAGTACTTACATTAAGCTTCAGAACATCCTGAATGGAATGAAGCTATAAGAGAAGAACTGCAAGCACTGTTTGATAATGGTACTTGGGAAATCACAGATTTGCCAGCTGATAAGAATGCAATAGGATGCAAGTGGGTGTTTAGATTGAAGTTGAAATCTGATGGCACAGTTGACAGGTTTAAGGCCAGATTGGTTGCAAAGGGGTACACTCAAGTTTATGGGATTGATTATTGTGATACATTCTCACCAGTGGCTAAGATGGCCTCAGTGAAAATGTTGTTATCAGTTGCAGCTGTTAAAGGATGGCATTTGCATCAAATGGATGTCAGCAATGCCTTCCTTAATGGAGATTTGACAGAGGAGGTGTACATGGTGTTGTCACCTGGTTTGGATCTTGATGGAAAACACAGAGGGAAAGTGTGCAAATTGAAGAAATCTTTGTATGGCTTGAAACAAGCAAGTCGACAATGGTATGCAAAGTTGACTGATTCTTTGGTTAATCATGGTTTTAAGCAGTCTACATGTGATTACTCAATCTTCACTGCTCATGTTTTGAATGAGTTAGTAGTACTGATAGTTTATGTGGATGATATTGTTCTAGGAAGTTTGAGTCTGGAATCAATTAATGCAGTTAAGAAAATGCTGCATACTGATTTCAAAATGAAGGATCTAGGAGAATTGAGTTATTTTATTGGTTTGGAAATAGCTCGTGGGAAGCAAGGGATTACAGTCTCCTGACACGCCAAAACACAACACCAAACTACGATCAAGGGATTACAGTCTAAATATCAACCCGCGGTATAGATCTACTGCCTACTCCGTGATTATCTATTATCTAGCCAACTAAGTCGATTGATTGTTGTTTTAACTAAAAGCAGAAAGAAAGCAGGAATTGGTTCGGTTTTCTCAAGCAAAGAAGAGTCACTCGGGAATGAGTCCCCCTAGCTCCTTAGTTAGGTCTCAATTGTAATTACCCTGGATTGATTTATTGTTGATTAGACTGCGGAAGATCCGACAGTAGCTTGAAATCTCTTAAGCTGACCAAGCCCTCTCAGTCTAACTACCCGACGGACGACTAGTCTTCACCGAGATAGAAAGCCGAAGCAATAAGCACAGAACTCCACTACTGGAATTGGATTCCAGTACAAAGCAGTAGACTGACTAACTCTCGTATAGCCAATCTACTACTACCTAATGATGAAGCTCTAACAACCTAATCAGATTCTATCTATCTCAGGTTGCAGCAGAAATCAAGAAAAGCTGATCATACTTCAATCAATTCAATGAAACATGCATCATTCGATTAAAACCAAACAGTATAATCATCCCAAGTCATTACAATCAAATCCCTAACACATGGAACTAGGGTTCTTCATACCCAAGTGAGAGAAGGGTTCTACTTCATAGAGAGAGAGAGAGAGAGGAAAACAGAAATCAGAGTAGTCATACTCATAAAGATGAGGAAAATCTGCTCTGGGATGTCAATCTTCACTCCTGGGGACGCAATCTGGGCTTCAATGGTGAGAAATCCACTCCAAATAGCTCCTAGGGTTTTTTCTTTGCCCTTTCTCTCTCTAAAACTCTGTTTTTGCTCTCCAAAGTCGATTCCCTCACTTGTGGCTCGAAATTGAGTAAAAACCAGAATTCCCGACTCACACGGGCAGGCGACACGGCCGTGTGGATTACCCAGATGCCCGTGTGAGAGACAAAACGCGGCGTTTCAAATAATTGGACTTTAGGCTACCTACACGGCCAGGGACACACGTGTGAAGCCTTGCACAATCCCACACGGCCACATTGCTTCTTTACACGGCCGTGTGGGTTTTATGTGTGCCCGTGTGGCTTCCTCAGCGGCTCGCCACACGTCCGATCTTCGTCCAATCGACCCCGAACTCGCTCCCAAACCTTCATTCACGTACTAGTACCTCAAATATCACAAACAAGCACAACCTAGCGTGAAATCGGCCTAAAACACGAGAATCAACATCTCAAATGGCTCAAGAATAGGGGTAAAAACATGTGCAATTAACGGTTAATCTAACTCCCCCACACTTAACCGTTTGCTTGTCCCCAAGCAAACCAAGTCAGACACAAGATAAGCTCACATATTTCAATCATACCAACATTGGGGACAAATCATATAGGCACAGAAACACGTGAATCATACTGGCTTTCAAACATCAACACATGAACAACTTCAATAGCAACCTGGACAAACACCACAGGCGACATTTGAGTGCAGCAAAATCGAGTAAAGGAGGAGTCTCCCTTCTGTTCATCAACCAACATAGACTTGACTCAACCACTTACTCAAGACAGTCAACTCATGCATAAAACTCAAGACATCAGAATCAATACCGAGCCATCTAGGTCCTCACCGGGGTAAAGAGTGTAAAGAACAAGGAAATGAATCACTCACTCTCGATCAGTGGGGTCAGGACAATTTGATGCAGAAAATGCGCATACTGATTCTCTCAATTCCTAACATCTCTTCACCATGACGGCAGCCTCTAAGTGTTAGAGTTCATATAAATGGGTGTCATCACTAACCAATCCGGAGGTCTTAGACACAGGTTCAAATGACTGGCTAGGGTCTTGGACATGGGGAAAAGGCCTTTTAGGTGGTGGAAGTATTCATAGCACAAGGTTCCACATTTCCAAACCCAACAAACTCACAGTCAATCAAACCAGTACTTTCTTTCTGCTATTCTGCATTACTCAAATTCTTCAGAGCACAAGAGCGAAGGATGTCACATAAATGTTAGTATTTCTAAGCCAGACTGCTAAGAAACACTACTTAATGGGCACTATTTAGATTTTTGGTGGTGGCTCTCTTTTGCTTTCATCTTTTGCTTTGTTTTTCTTTCATTTTTTTTTTCAATTCTTAAGAGAACCACCACCTCTGCACATTTTTCAAACACCTGCCCAACTTTTTAAGAACTACCTCCAACCCTCACATTATATTTAGCAGAAACAGCAGAGAACATGTAAAAACCACTCTGTGGAACCTTCTAAAAGATGCAAAAGGGTGATTTTTCATTGCAGACCGAAAGGAAGGAGAACACACGGCTCAAAGGGCTGACTAGGGGGTATGACACACCAGGAAAGTCAATTTGGCTGTGGGCTAATCCTATGCCTCCATCATCATGGAAGAGGGAACTATCGCACAAGAAAGAAACGAGCAGGCACAAATCTCACATGTCTACCTATATGATCTATCTCTCATTCTGATTCCCTGAACTATATGCATAAAATATTGTCAAGAACAAGTGATCAATCCAAGTCACAGTTGGTAAGCAAGCAGTTGAAAAACTGAACCCTTACACAACTCTACTGCACGTCTCAGCCATTCAATTCACCAATCAAAACACAGTGCCAATATGATCAAACAGCCGTACTTGGAGCCCTCAAATCTTGAGATTTGGACAGTGGAATAGGCTCCAAGCACATGTATAGAGATTCCAACCGATACAAAGCACCCCCCACACTTAAGCACGACATTGCCCTCAATCGAGCATAGGGAGAGAGAAGGGGAACGATGTTACCGGATTGAAAATTGCGGGAGACTAGTAGTGGACCAGTCGGCGGGGAACATATGGAATGAACGGGCAGTTCTGCACGAAGGGAATAACAAGAACACACTAACACACTGGGTGTTAGGGATCATAGTTGGCCCAGATGGCCACAAAAGAAACAATCCACAAAAGAAAACCAAAAGAACAAAAACAAACGACAGACTCAGTTCAAACTCCTCAAACACATGGAGCAAACATAAAAAGTCTAAAAACACACACTGAGGGGCGACAAGTACAACCTACTCGACGCCAAGGTTGTCCAGATTGATGTCATTCATGAATGCATCATCATCATCAGCTGGTGGAGGTGGAAGTGGAGAGTCCTCCCAGGGAGTCCTCCAGACTGGCTGCTCACCCGGTAGCAGCTGGAGCAGGTGCTGCTGAACCTCCTGCATGCGCCGAGATCGGGCCTGCTCCCTCTCTATGCGAGCCAGGGTCACCCCCTGCTGGGTCTCCATCCGATCAAGACGCTCATCATAAGCAGCCATCTGAGTCTGGTACTCGGCATGGTAAGCCGAATACTGCTGCTGAAACTAGAGCTGATGGTCGTAGAGCTGCTGATTCTGGAGATGCAGCTGCTCAAACTGCTGAGTGAAGTAGTCCTGGCCGGGGAAAGTGGAACTACCACCCCCCGTACTCGAAGGTGGTGGGGCGGGCGGCAGCAGTATCATCCACATCCTCGGGGTGGACATCCTCATCAGCCGCATCCTCCGGAACCTCCGGCTGCTCCTCCGCTGGGATCAGAGGTTGAGGAAACCCCTCGATCCACTTGACTCCTCGCTCTTCTCGAAGCAGGTGCATGCGACCTATCGTATATGCGCCAAAGACAGTGGTGTCCCCCTGCTCTGTGCACCCCTGCAGTGATATCTGGAAGTAGGTGGCCATGCGGGTGATGAGGGGAGTGTAGTGAAGTTTCTTCAGCTCTGAAGCACTCTTGTCGAAGGTTCTTGCCACCACAGAACCCAAGTGGAGAAGATGATCCTCCTGGCGCATGGACTGGATGAAGTACATGGCTCTCCGGGTGATGGCGTTGTCACTGTCCGAAGCTGGGGTGTAGGACTTTGCCAGCAAGTGGTGGAGAATGCGGTTGTCGAGCTGCAAGGTGCTGGCCTTCGTCTTCCCCGCCGCGAAGGGACGCTGGCCTGGCCGAGCGAGGTAGGTGTACAGTGTCCTAAAGTCCACCCCCTCTGGCTTAGTGAGCTTGGTGATGTATTCCTCATCATCGGCCAGGCCGAGGCCGAGGGCGGTCGCCAGCTCGTGGTAGCTCATGGATCGGGGTGCACCACCGAGCCTAAACTTGACGGCTTCTCCGTCCTTCCAATCCTCCGTGTCTGCGTGCTTGAAGGTCGTGCAGAACTCAATCACAAGCTCGTGGTAAACCTTCTCACGAATGCAGAGTAGACGGCACCAGGGGCGGTTGGTGACAATGGCGGAGAAGTGCTCGTAGCAGTTCAGCTTCTCAAACTCCCGCTTGGACCAGCAATGGTGCTGCCCAAACTTGCAGGCCATGACACTCTTAAAACGATCCTGGTGGGGGCCCCTCTTCAAATCTCGAATAAACGGGTGCTTGAGGTCGGGCTTTGTCATGGTCCTGCAAAAGAACAACCCAAAGTGGAACCAAAAGAGCCAAAGGAAAGGTCAATCACACCCCCACACTTAAGAACAGAAAACAGCCGAACCATGGTTTCATCCATAGTTCGGGTCAAAAACTCGATCAAACAAGCATAATCGGGGTGGGGGTGCACATCCATGAAAAAGTAGGCAACTCAAGGTTCACATCCATAGCAAACACACCCTCAAAGCACATCATTAAGGGCCCCAACCGGCGCCCACAACATGGCATGAAAAACAGGCATTTCATCGAACACCTTGTGTGCACTATTAAGTTAAGCATGGAATTGACAAATTCATAGCACACAAGGGCTCAATCAAGCAAGAGGGACATTGCCCAACCTCATTCACACACCAACCAAGCTTTCCCCTCAATCAATTGCACACAATTCACATGATTCAAGGTTGTTCTCTAAACATACACCCTATCACCCAATTCTCCATAAATCACAAGGTTAAGGTCAAAATCAAACCTGGAGACACAAGTAGAGGTGTAGGGGATGATGAGGGGAAGGCAATGGAAGTGATGAAGGGGCCAAAATCTGCCTGGAAGTGCTCGTCGGAGCCTCGCCGGAAATTGCCTCCGGCGACTCAAAATCGGTCCAAATCACCTCAAAGTCAAGGGATAGGCCGAAAATGGGGAGAAAAGGATGGGTGTGGAGGTGGTTTGGTGAAAAACCGACCAAAAATGGCCGAAAATCGACAAAGAGGGCGAAAGGTCGCGGTTTTCCGGGGAGGGGGATAGGATTCCGGCGAGAAGATTTGAAGTTTCTTACCACGCGGCCGTGTCGGCCGAAATTTAAAGGCTGGGCTCGGCCACACGGGCAAGCTCACACGGCCATGTGAGGTGCACGTGTGCCCGTGTCGGCCGACACGGGCAGGCCGAGGAATTCCAAACGGCCGTGTGAAAAGCACAATTGGCCGTGTGGAAATTGACGAGAGCTCACACGGGCAGGCCGAGGATTTCCACATGGCCGTGTGGAAAGCACAACTGGCGTGTGGAAATTGTCGAGAGCTCACACGGCCAAAACCCATTTCCACACAGCCGTGTGACTTTCAGGGCTGGCCGTGTGGGCTGCCAGCACTCCGAATTTGACATGTTTTCACTCGAAAACGACATACGACTCGTGAACAACACCTCAAGACTCAAAAACACAAAAAAAATCAAAAGGAAAAAGGTAAGAAAATGGCAACCTAGGTGGGGTTGCCTCCCCACAAGCGCTTCTTTACCGTCTTTTAACTGGACGCCAGTAGAGGAACTAAGGGTCCTCGAGCTTGATCAGCAGCTCTGCGCGCTCGACAGCACCTCCCAAATACAACTTTAGGAGGTGACCATTCACCTTGAATGGCTCAGTTTGAGCAGTGCTGATCTCCACCGCACCGTGCGGGAAAACTTGGGTGACCGTGAAAGGTCCCGACCACCTCGAACGTAGCTTGCCCGGAAAGAGTTTCAGGCGTGCATTGAAGAGCAGAACACGATCACCTACCTGAAACTCCTTCGGGCCCCTTAACCGAGTGTCGTGGAGACGCTTGGTTTGCTCTTTGTAGAGTAGGGTGTTCTCGTAGGCGTGGTAACGCCATTCCTCCAACTCCAACAGCTGCAACTTACGTTCAGTACCTGCAACACTCAAATCAAGGTTTAGCAGCTTAATGGCCTAGAAGGCCTTGTGCTCTAGCTCTACTGGCAGATGACACGCCTTCCCATAGACAAGCCTATAGGGAGAGGTGCCAATCGGGTTTTTATAGGCCGTCCTATATGCCCAAAGAGCATCATCGTGCTTGGTGGACCAATCCTTGCGGGACTGATCCACCGTCTTTTCAATTATCCGTTTAAGTTCCCGGTTCGTCAGCTCGGCTTGCCCATTTGACTGGGGTTGGTAAGCCAGCGACACTTGATGCTTAACACCATAGCGAGAGAGGAGTTTAGTGAATTGCCCTTGAAAATGGGTTCCTCTATCACTAATGATGGTGCGGGGTGTCCCGAACCGGGAGAACAGCTGCTTCAGAAATGAGCAGACCCGTCTTGCATCATTGGTGGGCATGGCTTGAGCTTCTGCCCACCTCGAGACGTAGTCCACTGCAACCAGAATGTATAGATTGCCAAAAGATGGAGGGAATGGGCCCATGAAATCGATACCCCAAACATCAAAAATTTCATAGATGACAGAAATATGTTGGGGTATCTCATCCCAGGCAGAAATGTTACCTGACCTTTGGCAGCAGTCGCACTGTCGTGCGAAGGTGTCTGCATCCTTGAAGAGTGAGGGCCAATAGAAGCCCGACTGTAGTACCTTCCGCTCCGTGCGGTTTCCTCCATGGTGACCTCCAGTAGCTCCCTCGTGGCATTGAGACAGGATGTCTCCCATCTCGTGCTCCATGACACAGCGCTGAATCACGCCATCTGCTCCGATCCTGAAGAGGTAAGGATCCTCCCAGAAGTAATGCTTCAGATCGGAGAAGAACTTGCGCGTTGCATGAGTGGCCATCCCCTTAGGTAGCTGCTTGCCCACCAGATAATTGGCAAAGTCAGAATACCAAGGGACCACGCTTTCCACCAGTGTCTTCGCCAGCAATCTCTCACCCGGGAAGGAGTCATTGATCTCTTCCACGAAGTTGTCCACTGGAGGGGCTTCCAACCGTGAAAGATCATCTGCAACAACATTCTCGGCTCCCTTCTTGTCCCGGATTTTGATGTCAAATTCCTGTAGGAGCTCCTTCTTAGTGGTGGTGTAGTTCTCCTGTGCATCATTCAAGGTCTTTGATGCGTAGTAGATGGGCTGGAAGTGCTTCCCGCGTCTCTGACCCAGAACTGCTCCGACTGCATAATCACTCGCATCGCACATCAGCTCAAAAGGAAGAGACCAGTCAGGAGTCGCCATGATAGGTGCATGGGTAAGCTTCTCCTTCAGAGTCTCGAATGCAGCTGTGCACTTAGGAGTGAACTGGAATGGTGCATCCTTCTCCAGCAGCTTGGTCAGAGGCAAGGCAATCTTCGAGAAATCTTTAATGAAGCGCCGGTAGAAGCCTGCATGACCCAAAAAGCTGTGAATCCCCTTCACAGAAACGGGAGGAGGTAGCTTACTGATCGTCTCAATCTTCGCGCGATCCACCTCAATCCCCTGCTTGGAGATCTTGTGCCCGAGCACAATCCCCTCACGGACCATAAAATGGCACTTCTCCCAGCTGAGTGCCAGATTAGTCTATTCACACCTCTTCAGAACGAGTTCCAGGTTATGGAGACAATGAGTGAAGGAGTCTCCATAAACCGAGAAGTCATCCATGAAGACTTCCATGATCTCCCCGACCATTCGGTCGAAGATCGCCATCATGCATCTCTAGAAGGTCGCCGGTGCATTACACAGCCCGAATGGAATCCTCCGGTATGCAAAAGTGCCAAAGGGGCAAGTGAATGTGGTCTTCGCCTGATCCTCTGGTGCAATAGGAATCTGGAAATAACCAGACATGCCATCCAGGAAGCAATAAAATTCATGACCAGCCAACCTCTCCAGCATCTGATCAATGAAAGGTAGGGGAAAATGATCTTTCCTGGTGGCATCGTTCAGGCGCCTGTAATCGATGCAGACTCTCCAGCCGGTCACGGTCCGCATCGGGATCAACTCTTTCTTCTCATTCGGGACCACAGTCATCCCGCCTTTCTTCGAGACCACCTGAGTGGGGCTGACCCACTTGCTATCAGATATAGCAAAGATTATCCCTGCATCCATGAGCTTCACAATCTCTGCCCGGACCACTGCCTCCAAGTTAGGAGACAATCTCCTATGTGGCTGCCTGGCTGGCTTAACCTCATCCTCCATCAGAATTCTATGGGAGCAGAAGGATAGGCTAATGCCTCTGATATCTGTGATCTTCCATGCCATGGCCCGGGCATACTTCTGCAGCAGAGCCACCAGCCTGCTCTTCTGCTCGGGTGTCAGATCCGAGCTAATAATGACCGGGAGCTTATTCCCCTCCCGGAGAAATGCATACTCCAGGTGAGAGGGGAGGGGCTTAAACTCCAGCTCTGGTGGCTCCTCCAATGATGTAGCGATCTGGGGCGAGATAGGGATCGGCTTGAATGGTATCTCTCGCCCCTCGATTGCGGCCTCGTCTAGCTCCGCGAGCTGCTCCTCCAGCTGCACGTCTTGTGATGCCTGTTCCCCTAGCAAAAGACAACGCTCAAGGAAATCATCAGTACCCGCACTCGTGATGGCGAGTGCGGTCTCAAAATCAGCAACAACATCACAGTAATCTAGATCATCATGGAGCTGGGGGTGTTTCATATTATCAGAAACAGAGAAGGTGATTTGTTCACCCCCAGCTCGCAAAATCAGTTTTCCATCATTCACATCAATGAGCGCCTTGGCGGTGGCGAGAAAAGGTCTACCCAATATCAATGGCACATCCACATCCTCATTTATGTCCAAAATCACAAAATCAACAGGATAAGAGAATGGCCCTACTGCGACTATCAAGTCCTCTGCAATGCCCCTAGGATGCACAATGGATCTATCAGCAAGTTGAATGCTCATCCTAGTATCACTGGGTTCACCTAGGCCTACCTTTTTAAACAGTTTATATGGCATGACATTTATGCTAGCGCCTAAATCTGCCAAGGACTTTCCTATATGCAAACTACCAATCATGCAAGGGATAGTGAAACTCCCTGGGTCTTTTCACTTCTCCGGTAGTTTGTTCTGCAGGATGGCAGAACACTCCTCGTTGAGCATCACCGTTGATAGCTCCCCAAGCTTCCTCTTGTTGGTGAGGATATCTTTCATGAACTTGGCATACTTGGGCATCTTCGATAATGCCTCCACGAAGGGCATGCTTATATTCACCTGCTTCAGCATTGCCATGAACTTGGCAAACTCAGTCTCCAGTCGGTTCTTGTGCAACCGAGTAGGAAAGGGAAGCTGGGGTACATACTCCTTCACCACTGGTTGCGGTGTAGGAGCAGGCAACTCAACCTCCTTTTCCATTTCCTCTTCATTAGCTGGAGGTGCTGAAGCAGGGGTCTCTCTCTCTTCTTCCCGAACAGGTGGATCGGCAGTCACCTTGCCACTCTTGTTTGTGATGGCATTGCATTTGGCATTCGGGTCCTGCGGATGAGGGATGGTCTGACCAGGAAGAGTACCAGGATTCCTCTGAGCTACAGCCTGAGCAACACTACCAAGCTGGGTCTGGATATCCCGCAGCACAGCTTGCGTGTTTCTCTGACCAGCTTCTAGCTCCAAGAATTTTCCTAAAGCTTTCTCCATGAACTGCTCGATGTTATTGAACTTGTTTGCACTGGAGTTGGCCAGAGAACCCACCAGATCTCGCAGTTCCGCCATCGGGTCACTCTGTGCTGGGGCTGCAGGTGCTGCCCCTGTCTGCTGAAATGGTCGCACCTATGACTGAGGTGGAACTGGCCCCTGTCTGGGCGGGTAGAGAGGCTGTTGTGGCTGCTGAAATTGCCCTTGTCTGGGCTGGTAAGGAGGCCTCTGGAAGCCAGGTGGTCCCTGGGGGACTGGTGGTCTAGAATTTGCCCCACCCCAAAAGAAGTTGGGATGCTGGCGCCACCCCTCGTTGTAAGTGTTGCTGTAGGGGTCGAAGCGCCTGGCATTGTCGATGAAGTACAGCTGCTCCTGGGGAGTAGAAGACTCCCTCATCGCCTGGAAATCCTCCACGGTGTGATGAGAACTCTCACACAACTGACAGAGCATCG